CAGTGTGGGGTGCTTACCTGGATGGACAGCTACCCAGGTACACCAGTGGCCAGAGTTAGCAGCAGGCCGAGGCAGCTGAGGGGGTGGCGTGAGCCTGGCCCCCATGGCTAGCCCTCTCTCCTGCGCTTATGAGACAAACACACTCAGCTCACCTCCACATGCTGGGAACTGAGTTTGGGGGAGCAGGGCCTTGTCACATAGTTAGCATCATTCTGCAAGGTCACTCCAGAACCTTCCCAGAGCTGTCCGGCAGGGGAGCTGCTGGCTGCCCAGCTACTGAGCCCCTGGTGAGGTCTGAAGAACCCTGTGAAGACCCAGTGGAGAAGCTGCCCAGCTGCCAGGGGCGGTTGGGTTGGGTGGGCGCCCAGACACCCTGGGCTGTTGCTCCCATCAGCTCCTGGGGAGCATGAGGGGGGAGCATGACTTCTTCCCAGTGTCAGGACCCTATGCAGGTCCTCACTGGCATGCAGATGCCACCTGGGCCTGGTGGTCTACTCTAGAGGGCGTTGTGCGGGGTCTCTGCCCTTGACAGCAGGCACTCCCCTGGGCAGAGCCTGCGACATGCTCTGCGGGAAACGCATACTCAGAATGCTGTATGCGGAGGCCTCGCCAGGAGAGGCCTGGGAGCCACTGAGCACAGACAACTGTTCTCCCCAGCATCCCTCACATACACTTTAGGAAACATTTGTTACATGATAGGTTGGTGACCCCCAGAGAGCTGAGAGAGTTGAGTCTGTCCTGGAAGCTGTGACATAGAGACACTAGGCCCCACGTGCCTACTGTCTGCACAGCCATGCCTAGCCCGGCTTGATGGGGCATGAGAGTGCCAGGCTGGGTACCAGACTGTGCTTCTACACAGCCTTGCTCCTGGCACACTGTGCTGCACACTTCTGAAGGGCTGGGCCCTGCTGCCACCACCTGCGGGTGCCACCACCTGCTTACCTCGTGTTGGCTAAGTGGCCTCACACATCCTTCAGCACTTTCCTTAGGCAGCAGGCTTGTGTTGTGCAGACTAGGCTGTCCACTCTGATGTTCCTGCAGGCTCAACAAGAGGAAGGCAAGAGTCCCCTGTGGGGGACTCACTAATACTGAGGGCAGCTTCCTGTGGCGTCCTGCTCCCGAGTAAGCCGAGGGGTAGCTCAGCTGACATCAGCCTGCCTCTTGCAGAGATGTGTTCAGAGTGGTGGGTGGTGAGGGCCGGGCTGGTCCTAACTCAGGAGCAGGAAGGGACAGAGCTCAGTCCCAGGAACATTCTCTGGGGCTACTCCTGCCTAGATTGGTGTTGAACCTGTATGTCCTATGTCTCACAGCAACCCCCAGGCAGCCAGTAGGTGGCCTGGAAAGACAGCTTAGCAAGGAGCCTCCAGGCTCCGTCTTGTCCCAGCCCTGCCCTGCTGGGCCCCACTCAGGCTGTGTGAAGTCTACCGATAACTTTCCAGAGCTGAGTCAAGACAAAAGCCTTGTCTCAATGGGTCCGCGGTGTGAAGTGGGTCCCAGCCAGGCAGGCTCGCTGCACTCACTGCAAGAGTGGCCCACAGAGTCAACAGCAACTTGTCCCTTGCCCTTCGCAGGGGCAGGGCAGGGTCTTCTCTAAGGAAGCTGCAGCTCGACTTCAAGTGCTGTCTTGCTCGAGGCTGGGTGGGCCCTCTGGACTGGCAGGGTATGGTGCTGCCAATTGCTTTGCACACCTGATTCCCAAGAGCCTCTAGGTTGAAATGCCAGAAAATTAAAAATATGGGGTGGAAATTCTCTCCTGGAAGGGGGCCTCTTCAGTGGGTGACTGTTTGGAAACGGCGTATCTGGGTGCTTCCGCATCACTGCTGCCAGCCCGTGGGAGGACCTGCATGCGCCTGTGCAGCCTGGGCCCCGGCTCCAGAGTCACAGGGACCTGGGGCTGGAGAATATCCCATGCAACCAGAACTTCCGTGGTTTTTCTGGACGGCTTAGGGGGACGTTCATACCAACCCTGTTTAAATAGGCTCTGTTGGTACTCAGCCACCCATGTGGGGCTGTCTCTTCCTGTTTCTGGAAAGAGAGGGCCCTGACTTGGAAGTGGCAGGCAGAGGCACTCACTGTTGGGGACAGCGTGTCTGGGTGTGCGCACCCTGACTCTCCATTCTAGAGATGTCCACGCCCCTCACCAGGGCAGCCTGTTGGGACACTAGCCAGTGACCAGCCACAGAATGCAGCAGGTGGGGTCGAGAAGGGCGCTTGTGCCAGGTTGGGGGGTCACCCATGCAGACACGGGGAAGGACCAGGGCTGCAGCACGTCCCCTGCCTGCAGCGTCCTGCCAGGAACAGAAAGCGCTTTCAACAGCTTTACTGGTTTATTCAGTTCAATCCAGGGCAAGTGTTTAAAGAACCCACACACGGGACAGGAGGTATGTTCGCCATACATGATTTGCGTAATGTCATGCATAAATAATCAGCACGATACAGTAACAACTGCAGGTGAACTCTGACCCACTCAGGCTTATGTGGTTTTGTCCTCAACAGACCTTCCTAGAAGACGCTAAAACACATTCTGCCTTCTAAGTTTCTAAAATAGAAACACTTGCTTTTCGAGACTTGTGTCAGGTGCTAAATGAGAGTGTGTTCCACATTGCAATGGCCTCAGCATGTCTGGAGCACTGGGAAGGCTCCGCTCAAAACTAGGGCAAGCCATGATGGCTCCAGGGCGGCCCACACTACCTTTCACTACAGCAGAGGCTACGATTCTTAGAACACTCTTCGAAATCAGGCTAAACCTCCAAACACCAAATTTCTAACCTGCAAGTGGCTTCTGCAGCTCCCAACAGCAGCTCCCCTTGCATCTCCCCACAAGCTCTGGGGCAACCCTAAGGTTCCCCCTCCTGACAAGCAAGGCCCATGTCCACAGTCAGTTCTGCCCCACACAAACTGTCTGCCCCACACTGCAGAACTGGACAGGCTGGAACCGGGAGAGCACTCTGGATGAAACCAGAGAATGAGGAACTACAGGCCACCATTCTCCTGATCAGAGCACTAAAGATGTATGTGGCATTGTCTGTAGCCACATGGCACCATCACTGGGCACCTAGCCTGTGGGGACCAGGGGTAACACTGGCCTCGGAGATCTCCTTTCCACAGACTGAGTGTGGCGCTCCGTGGACTGGCACCAGATGGCCCGGGAAGGTGGGCAGCAGGAGAGGGCCCAGCTCGGCCCTCTCAAAAGGCTCAGGCCAGAGTTAGGGCCTGCTGCCCCCAGCCTTGGAGGGCCACCACTCAGAACAGCCAGCCTGTCTTGTCCCTACCAGGACACAAGACAACCGTCTTGGAGTGACACTGACATTCTTTAGCAAAGCAAACACATACCAAACCAGAAGAGCCTTTTCAATAAGGCTCCAGGGAAGTACAGACATGCGCTAGGAGGCAAGCGAGTCACAGACAGATGTCTGCAGGGGCTGCAAAGGTCACACCCTTTGCAAGGTGTAGGGATCTTGTCTGGCCCCACAGACAAGGGCACGATGTCCGGGCTCCCCACAGATGCCACAGTGTACAGTGGGGCTTCTCAGCACAGCGTCCTGAGGCTCCCGGCACCTCTGTGTATCAAGGTCTCTATTCTCAACAGTATGTCACATCCCAGAGACCTTATCTGGGCCATCCGGAATCCCACAGCCCAGATAGCCCAGACCCCGCAGAGATATTAAACCATTACAGGAAATGTAATCAGAGCATGACCACGCCCAGTGACTATGAGAACAAAAGACAAATTGTCCCTCTCCAGGTTACTGCTGGGGAGTGGGGTCAACACAGTTTCTAACAGCAGCTAGGGAGCAGCACGCTCCCACGTCAGCCGCTGCTGTGGCGCATGTGCGCGTGTGTGTGTCTCCACCCAAGAACTCGGGGCAGGTCTACTAGGTGCCTTTAGTGAAAATGCCAGAACTGACACCACACAGCTGGGTCAGCAAGTGCACAGGGACCTGTGCTGGCTGACAGGCCTGGAGGGCCCTGCAGGGAGCACGTGGCATCTCACCCCCTGCAGTTGCTTGGTGTCCTCACAAGGAGGCCCGCATTTGGCTCCTAGACCCACTACAAACAAGCTAGGCCAGACCAAGCCAATGGCCTTGTCTAAACAAGAAGCCCCCCAGGCTGTCCCCTCCTGCCACCTGGGGCCATGGGCAGCAACAACCTGGGCAGGCTTCCGGACTGTGGGTCCTTTCCCCAACCTGGTGGCTTCACTGAGTGCATGGGGCCTGGGCTCCAGGCTGGTTGGGAAAAGAGAACCTGAGCCTCGTCTGCCTCAGACATCCCTCAATTAATTTGTCCCTCTCAGTGGGCACCTCACACTGATGCCCACAGACATGCCTCCCTGACCCTGGCCAGGCCTCCCACCCTTGGAATCTCCCCAGGGCCTGGCAACTCTGACATTAGCTGCAGCATCCACCCCACCTGCTGCGCTGGTCTGTGCCCCAAGCTCCTGCCTCCCGCCACCTCCCCACCCAAGCCAGGCCACCCAACTCCCTCCAGGGCTAGAGGGAGGAAACACCAAGCTGTCCTCCTGCACCCAGCTGATTGCCACAGTCCTCACCTAATCACCAATGGACATGCTCCCCAAAGGTCTCCCGGGACAATCCTCTGAACTCACGCCCCTGCCCAGATGCTCCCTTCCCTGGCCGGCTGCACGTTCCAAGTCTCAGAGAGTCCCTTGGCCACTGGGTACTGCTCACAGCCCTTCCTGAGACAGGGCCTGTGGATGGATCCCCCGGAGCCTCTTCAGCTTGCCCGGACCCAGGAAATCCCAGGGCCAAGGAATCAGCCTTTCTTTGCCCCCTAAGCTCTCAGCAACAGTGTCTTGGTTAATTACCAGCTGTTCCATCTCAGGGAAAATCATCCAGGTTGTTACATTAAGACAGAAGTAAAACTTTGGTGTTGAACCACCTGGCAGTGTCTAAGCAGCCTGGTGAGCAGTTTGCATTGCTGAGTCTCCCCAAACGCAAGCACGTTTGTTCTGGCAAGTTCTTCTGGCCCCTGGGGCACGGCCCAGCCCCTCACACGACCTGCAGGCTGCGCTCGTGCCCGTCCAGCTGCACCTTGAGCTTGTGCAGCTCCTCGATCTCACGGTTGTGGCGCTCTGTCTTGTGGCGCACCAGCGAGCGGTAAAAGTGGATGGTGAAGACCACAAAGATGAGGCCCACGGGCACCATGATGATGGTGGACACCAGGGCGGCCTGCCAGCCTGTGTGGCTGCCGGGGCCAGGCTGGCTCCTGGCGTCCACGGGGAGGAACTTGATCCAGCAGAGCAGCACCACCTCAGCCAGGAAGAGCAGGATGCCCAGCACGGTGGAGAAGCCCCAGGCCAGCTCGATGTAGGGGTGCATGCGCTCATGCGGCGACTCGCTGATGGAGTTGAGGTTGTGGATGTTGCTCACAGCCTCCACGTTGGGCAGGATGCACGTGCTGATGAGCAGGGCAAACAGGTGCACGGCCACCAGCACCGTGGTGCAGGCGCTGAAGGCGATGAGCAGCGGCCGCGGGTACTGGTACTGCGTCTCCAGCTGCACCTCCACCATGGCCACCTGCGAGGAAGAGCAGGGCTGGGTGGGGAGAGCAGGGTGCACCCCCACCATGGCCACCTGCCAGGCAGTGTGGAGGGCTGTGGGCACCCACAGACTTACCTACCTTGGGGACTCACCCATGTTCTGGGGCCCTGAAGACCAGAGGACCTCTCCTTGATATTTAAGTATTTCAAAAAGTTCTGACTAGCTAAAGAAGATCACACTAAGGGAAAATCTAAAAAGTACAGAACAAAGACACACAGGTGATCACCCCCAGGTGCCATCCTGTACCTACAAGCAAGGATGCCTCTGTGGTGCCCAGCTAGCACCCAGGGCACATGCCCACGACCCTGGGCATGGGTCTGTGTGGCTTTGCTGATGTCAGAGCCAGGCTGAAGCTGGCTTAGCTGCAGAAATGGCTGTTTTTTAAAAAATAAAAACTGACCTTTCAAAAGGTAAAAAGTGAGGCTCCTCACGGTTCTCGGACTTGGAACTGTGCACCCAAACGGCCTCGTATAGACCATATGGGGCAGCTTGCAGCTGAGACCAGAAGCTGGGGGAAGCTGCATGTCTGAAGGCCAGGAAAGGCGGGAGAAGTGAGGGGTGCAGCTGTGGGAAGGAGCCTGGGCTGGGCCGAGGGAGAGAAATCGGCACCGCAGGCAGGGGAGACCAGTGGGTGGGTGAGGCCTGAAACGGATGCTCCAAGCACCATGGTCTCCGCGTGTCATCTGGAAACCTGCAGCCAAAGCCAAGTGCCCTCCTCAAGGGGTTGGGGACGCAGGGCTGCTAGGGTTTGCTATAAGCATTTTTAAAAATATAGTCCAGGCGCAGTGGCTCACGCCTATAATCCTAGCACTCTGGAAGGCCAAGGCGGGAGGATTGCTCAAGGTCAGGACAGGAGTTTGAGACCAGCCTGAGCAAGAATGAGACCCCATGTCTACTAAAAAAAAAAAAAAAAAAAAAAATGGAAACAATTGGCCAACTAAAAATATATACAAAAAAAAAATTAGCTGGGCATGGTGGTGCTTGCCTGTAGTCACAGCAACTCGGGAGGCTGAGGCAGAAGGATTGCTTGAGCCCAGGAGTTTGAGGTTGCTGTGAGCTAGGCTGACACCGTGGCACTCTAGTACAGCAACAGAATGAGACTCTGTCTAAAAAAATAATAATAAAAATAAAAATATATTCATGTACTACGCTTTGATGAGATAAAAATTATTTTTAAATGAAAGGAAGAAAAAGCCCCAAAGAGGGTCCGTGGCAGGGGGTGTCTATAGTCACTGCTGCCTGCTCACCATGCACCCCGAGGGGTTTTCACAGCAAGCCCTTCCCACACTTCCCCTGCAGTCAGACCAAGGCACCTTCCTGGGTCCCCACCTGCCCCCAGCACTGTGGATCCCTCCCCCCATGGAGGGTTTAGTCCATGCCCAGCAAGGACTGCAGGGGAACAAAGGACCTTCTCCCCGGGCAGCCAAAGAAGCCAGACTAGTCAAAGAAGGGGGTAGGGAGGCAAAAAAAAAACATACTGAGGAAGGTTTTTCCACCCACAGTGTTTGCCTCCTAGATCAGCCATCCCTGTTTTTAAATATATATATAAGATTTCATAACTTTCAGCTACTACTGCCTCCTGGGGAACCTTATCCCTACACCTCACCTTCAATGATGATGGCATACTTGGTAGGTAGAAGAAGATAATGACAGTCCGAGTGCACCAGACCTGAATAGCAATTCAATAGTGCTATGGCTGGGGCCATGGTAAAAAATATCTAAAAGACAGTAGTCACAATACAATACTGAGGGGTGGTCTCTTCTCAGTGCTCCTGTGGCTCTGGGTGGGCTCTTAGTTCCACGAAGGATAATGGCCCAACAAAAAGGTATAACAAACTACAGAGGGTTCCAAGAAGGAACTAAGTAGATTAAAAGGCAGGAGATAAGGTCTACAAAGAGTGGTTGTGTTCCACCTCAATAGGCCCAAGGGCCATTTTTACTGTGTTTATGCAGAGATTTTATGAGGGGCCTCGGATCACTGGTTCTCTAAGTTAGGGCAAGGCTAAACATGAGGAAATAAGCTAATGGTTAGGCATAATTGCTTGCTGTTGGAGGAAGGAACAGGTTTGCAATTCTAATTAGGGAATACACAATATAAACGAGGGTCCCACCTAGCAAAGTGTGCGTTTTCACTGTTCCGTGTCCCTGCCAGATTCAGCTAGGATTTCTGATACCCTGCATCTATCACTTATTTTCCCCAAGCTGCCCCCAGTCTGAGGAATGATCTGATTGAATGGTGGTAGATTCATCTAATCAACCGAGGGGGCGCATGCCGGCTTCCCAGTGCAGCCCTCATATCCGAGGCTTCTGAATCTGTAGATGCAACCAACCATGTAGCAAAAATATGGGGGGGGGGGGAGGACCAAAATAAAAAATAATACAAATAAGAAATCAATACAGTATAACCATTCACATGGCATTTACACTGTATTAGGTGTTCTAAGTAATCTAGAGATGACTTAGAGTATACAAGAGGATGTGTGTAGGCTGTATGCAAATGCCACACACAGACTCAAGCATCTGTGGATGTTGGTACCCCTGGGGGTCCTGAAACCCATCCCTCCAGGATACTAAGGGACAACTGTATACTCTGTTATGGCCAGTGCATGTCAGGCTGGGGCAGTCTCCCTGAGAGAAAACTCCTAGAAGAGAGAGCAAAGGCACTTCTGGAATGTGCCTCCAAATTGCATAAGGAAGCACTTGCTGGTAGAGGACACACTCATCAATGAACAGGAAATGATTGATTACAGGAGAATGGGACTGCCCCAGGCCCCAGCAAGCTGGGTGACCCGATTCCCACCCCTACTATTCTCATTCTAACACCACTGTATACCCCAAGGGCAGTCATTAAGTGTCAAACTCTTCCTCCAGAATTCACACATCCTGTTTCATTTATTTTATTTTTTGAGATAGAGTCTCACTCTGTTGCCAGGGCTAGAGCGCCATGGCATCAGCCTAGCTCACAGCAACCTCAAACTCCTGGGCTCAAGTGATCCTTTTGCCTCAGCCTCCCAAGTAGCTGGGACTACAGGCATGCACCACCATGCCCGGCTACATTTTTCTATATATTTTTAGTTGTCCAGCTAATTTCTTTCTATTTTTAATAGAGACGGGGTCTCACTCTTGCTCAGGCTGGTCTCAAACTCCTGAGCTCAAACAATCCACCCGCCTTGGCCTCCCAGAGTGCTAGGATTACATGTGTGAGCCAGCACGCCTGGTCCACTTGTCTTGTGTTATATAGCTTTATTCACAGGGCTTCTTTTCAAATTTTATTTAGTGATCTTGAAGCCTCAGTCTTGGGGGAGCATTTTGTTGGCTGAAAAATTGTAAGGCTGTCCTAAGTTTGTAAAGCCAAATATTTGGAAGGCCAAGGTCTAAAAAAGACAGCTGTAGCCAGGAAACGATTTCCAAATCCCAGGCCCCCCACAGAAAGGAAACCACCTGTGTTAAACACTTAAGAGTTAATTTTTCAAAGGTGTGGGGGGGAGCACAGGCCAGAAAAATGTAATGCAATATTATAATTCTTCTGTCCTATTAAAAACAAGCTTCAATTTAATGGTGACATCTAAACTTCTCACATGTTCCTTATAATTAAGCTTGAGAAAATATTCTGTCCTTTTAATGAGATGAAAACCGTGGAAGAAAGTCACTCTGAGCCAAAGATGTATACCATATAATTATATGCTTCGTCAATATGTTAAAAAAAAACAACAAAAAAACCCCCACAAGACCTAAATAAGCCTTTGCTTTAACCTACAGACCTAAACACAAAACTAGGTGACCTCTGCCCTGCCTTGTACAAAGCCTCACCCTCTCAATGAAACGACTCATCCTGTCCAAGAGTGGCCCATACTGATGACTGAGCAGGCCCTGTGGCCATAGTGGCTCACTCAGTCAGCTTATTATTGGAAGCTGCCCTACCAATTTAACAACTGAGGCTCTGGGCTTTAGAAAAACAATAGTTTTTACATAAAGAAATAAATGGCTTCCAGCCCAATAAGGCCTCTGGGCACACTGTTGCTTCTCACTCTGAGTCCTCAAACTCAGGAAAAATTCCCCCAAGGGATGTGGGTTTGGAGTCAACAGCAGATAGGCTTTGCCCCCAGACTGATTTTTGTCCTAGAGGATGACGCCTGGGGGATGACTCAGGGAAACGGGCAGCCGGGAGCCAGGCCAGAGGTTCTGCTTTGTCACCCCAGAGGCCACATTCAGGGAACAAGTCTGCATCCCCAACTGGGCTAAACTGAGAAAACCCCAATCAATCCGAGAGTCCCTGCTCAAATCTCTCAGATTTCCAAACTTCTGGGTGGTGCCCGGGATGGGACAGACGTGGGTATCTCTCCCGAGGAAACCCTGTACACTGAAACACTGAAGCTATTTTAATTACGCTGCACTAACCTCCTTGCTAAGCAAATACTTTCCATGCACACAAAGGGGGGCTTTCTGAGGACTCAGGGCATTGGAATCCCACCCTTCCATCCTCCCAGCACAGCCTCCCCCCACCCCACCCCTCAAAGAACAGCCTCCTGGAGGAGCTGGGACATGGGCAGACACTTCCCAATGAGAAGTCCCATCCTGGCTGCCAGTGGCCCAGAGGGAGCACTCTACCCCCAGATTTGACTGGCTGAGCTCCCCTGAGGGCTGCACTCACCATGGCAAAGCCGGAAAGGAGGGCTGAGGTCCTGCTGGAGGCCTTCAGCTTGGCCCTGCTCAGGTACAGCTTCCTCCAGGACAGGGCCTGCACCGAGTGGTGATTGGAGGTGACCAGTTCCAGGTAGCTGCGGCGGACCCAGTCGCGGTAATCCATGCCCTTGTGGCCAGGCTCAGAGCAGGCGGGAGTGGAGGGGTCCACAGGCACATTGAGCTCAGCGTTCATGGTGGGAGCCAGGCTGGGGAAGGGAGAGAGACATGCTCAGGCTGCTGAGAGGGTTTCTGTGGCCTTGAAAAGCCAGACTCAGGCTGGGCGTGGTGGGTCACGCCTGTAATCCTAGCACTCAGGAAGGCCTAGGCAGGAGGATTGCTTGAGCCCAGGAGTTTGAGGTTGCTGTGAGCTAGGCTGACGCCAGGGCACTCTAACCCAGGCAACAGAGCAAGATTCTGTCTCTGTCTCAAAAAAAAAAAAAGAAAGAAAAGCCAGTCCCAAGACCATTTAATATGCCCTGGGCCCTGCTGTACAAGGCTCATATCAGAGCCATGGGGGTCCAAAGCGAGTAGGGATGTGGAGCCCTGGTCTCCAAGGCAGTCCCCAAACCAAACATGGGGGCCACCTGCAGGAAAGGAAGGTGAGGCGTGCATTACCAGGCACTGCTGCAGCAAGGTCATCTGTCCACAAAGCTGGAACCCAGCCTCCTGATGGCTAGAAAGGCTCCAATCAGGAATGGCCCAAAGTCCCTACTGACTCCTCTGACTTGCACCTACCTTCAGGGAGCATCAGCTGTGGTTTAGAAAGAGCCTAGCACTTAAAGTCAGAACACCTGGATTTGAGTCGACTGCATGATCCTGAGCATGGCAGCTGACCTCTGACCTCACGCCTTCATGTTCAGAACGATTCCCACCTGCAGGACGTTTGAACAAGACAACTAGAGATTCAAACCTGCTTTCAACGTCCAGGTGCCAATCGTGGAATAAACATTTCCAAGTAGCTGCCAGTTTCGCAAATCTAACTTAAATTTTAGTCAGTACAGTGTGCCCTCAAAAAATAAAACTAAAGCCACATCCAGGCTGCAATGGAACCCTTCCACAAAATGAAAACTGAATCCACCAACTGACGCAAGTACATTTTAAGGAGAAACAGACACTGGAGACGCCTGTACCCTACCTGGTAGACATCTGGTTTGACAATAACAAGGACTGAATATCAGAAGGACTAATCTGTCAAGATCTGTGACTTTAAACCCAAATCTCCACTAATCCAAACAGGGGATTGGCGGTCTCCTATGGCCCAAGGGGCTGGCCTGGCTGCCACACGCCGGGCTCCGGCGCTAATTAATCTGCAGGACACACACTTCAAGGGCACAGGCACCTTGCGGCGTACTTGGCATCGAGAGTAACTTCTCTGTTCAGACCCCCACAGGCTCCATGGAGAGCCTACTTTCGGCTACTACAAACAGATCAGCGTTTCTAGGGCCCAGGGAGTGCGTGGATGGGTGGGGCCGCGGGCGTTGACCAGGGTCAGCAGCTGAGGAAATGCCCCAGACTTCATCCGTCCACGCCAGCCTCCAGCGGGGCTTAAAAAGGTGCTGGAGGTGGGGAAAGGTCTCTGGTGTGCCAGGCCGCAGAGCCACGGCTTCCACCGGCCAGCAGCATCCCCGGGAACAGTTCTGTGCTCTCTTATCTCTGCCAGAGGATGCCAATTACCAGGTCATTTATAGGAATGCCAGCTCGGTGCTCGGTCCCATCTCAGCCAGCAGCAACGTTCAAGCACTTCCATCCCTGGAACGTCCCTTTCCTTGGGGAGAATACAGAGAAGTGTTGCTCATTAAACCAATCCGTTGCTTAGCTCCACATAATTGAGAATGTCATAGTTTGGAAATGCATTTTCCCCTCCCCCTGCCTCTGCCTCTCCCATATGGGACAGAACGGAGCCTGCAGGTCTGAGGAAGACAGTACACAGAGTGCGGGGGGCAGATGGTGCGGGGCTGACTTCTGCTCCCCTCCAGCATCTCTCCTTTCTCCCATCTGCATCCCAGAGATGTTTCTTGCACTTGGTTCGAAGGCAGCAAAGGCGAAAGAGGCAAGAATCTCACTGCCCAGTGGGGGAGCAAGAGAAGGGGGTACCCTCTTCCAATGGTCTGCAGTGGAGAGGGAGGGAGGCAAGGGAAAGGTCCTCCCCACCCCCACAGGCAACACCAGGGGTCATGAGGACGTGGGAGGTAGTGAAGGTAGCCTTGGCAAATAGGGACCCTCCCTCAAAGACAAGGTGCTGCCCCCATGGAAGGGTCCTGAGAGGCAAGAAGACAAGCTCCTGGCACATTTGGGATGGCTCCCATCCTCCAGGGGACACGGTGGGAAGGCTGGCTGCCTGGGGGGTGAGGGTGCAGGGAGATGTGGGTGGGAGACACTTGGAGCTTACGGCCAGCAGGCCCAGGCAGCATGACCCTGTTTGGCCTTTCTCTAGCAGTGTCCAGCTGTAGGGGCATGGAAGGAGTTGGTGAGTGGGACAGTCTGGGAATTGCTGGGTCAGTCTTGTTTGGGACCACAGTTCAAACCAGGGAATGAATATTTGGCAGACTGGGAGGCATGGGAGGGCCTGGTGGCTTCCAATGGGACAAGGGTGAAGAAGAGGGAAGTCCAGGGGCAGTCAGTGAGTGTAGGCCGGGCTTAACTCTGAGAGTGGAGATGGAGTGCTCAGGCAATGAGGACTGAGGGTGGCCTCCAGGGAGTGGCCAGGGCAGTCTTGGCCCTGCAGATGTCCCCAGAGTGGGTGGGGTTGGGAAGGAAGGGCTGTCTGTCTGCCTGGAGAAAGGCCTGCAGGTGCTGAAGGTAGAGAAGCCACCTCCTCCAGAGAGGGCAGCCCAGGTCGGGTTCCAATCCATCCTTTAGTTCGCAGTGGCCTACCTTGTGCCAGGCCTCATGGCCCAAGGGGAGGGGCAGAGTCAGGTCGCCACACTCTGGAGCTCAGGCAGCAGGTGGGGTGGGGCCAGAAGGAGCCCTACATTTCTGCCAGGTGGCACAGGCTCCAAAGGATGCGCACCTGGCTGAAGCCTGTGGGGTTTTTTGTTTCGTTGTTTTTAGAAGGAGCAGTCAGAGAAAAGAGTTCTTGTAGGATAACGGTGACCCTCTCTCTAAAGACGAGCGATTCTCCCTGGCAGGTCTATTAGAAACATTTCCAGGGGAGAGGTTTTGGACTTAGCCTGTCTTGACTTCCTTTAAACATCTGGGGCACCGGCAATGGTGAGTGTCTGTCACACAGGCGCGCGGGGCGGGGGCCTCCGAGAGGTGTCCACCTGCATCCTTGTCCCTTCTCCTGGGAAGCCCCCGTGGCTGCAGGACTCGGACTCGGCGGCGAACCCGCCCTCCTAATCCTCTTGGCGCCGCACCGGGCCCGGGATCCCGCGGGGCTGGGGACACCTGGCCGCCCCCCAACTCCGCGGCGGTCCTCTCTTCCTTCCGCTCCATCCTGAGCCTGCCCAGGAGGAAGCCGCGTCCCTCCCCTGGCGAGCGTCCCCGGTCCAATTCCGGCCCCCACAGCTGGGCGGGGACCCCCTCCCGCCAACCCCCCCGCAGCCAAGGGAAGGGTGGGCGCGGAGCCGCCGCCGAGCACTCACCGGAGCTGCCCTGCCCGCCCCGCCCGGCTCCAGGCTCGCGGCAGGCGGCGGTGGCGCGGCCGTGTGGCCCAGTGGTCGGGCCAGGGCGCCGAACGCGGCCCCCTCCCTCCTTCCGCCGGTCGCGCGGGGTGCCCCCCCCGGCCCCGCCTCCGCGGGCCGCCCCACCCCCGCCAGCCGCCGCAGCCATGGCAACGGCGCGCCGCCGTCACGTGAGCGGCCCGCGGGGGGCCCTGCGGCCACGTCACCCTCTGGGCTGGGAGGGGCGGAGCTCCAGGGCCCTCCTGGGGAGAGCGGGGGGAGGGGGTCCCCGCCGCACCTGCCCGGACCACCCCAGGGCCGCGCGCAGGGGAGCGTGGGGCGCCGGGGAGACCGCGAGCCGCTCGCATCCCTCCTGCCCCGGCCCGGCCTCACCGGGAGTGGCCTCCGGGTGGCGACGGGGCGCGCGGGAGGACTGGGCCCGGCCCCGCGACAGACTAGGAGCTGGGATTCCTCTGCCTCTGGGTCTGAGCGCAGAATGGGAGCCCGGGGTTGGCAGGGTGGGCCTCAAGAGGTGCCTGGCACCGCTGCATGGCCGCGTGCAGGGGTGGGGCGTGGGAACAGGACGGACAGGCGTGAGGTGGGAAGTGTGGGGGAGAGGGATGCAAGGGGAGGCTCCGTCTGGCCGCCCGAGTCTGCCCAGGTGCACGGTGGCACCATGCAGAGCTGGTTGGGGGTTGCCTGGCGGGACCGCACCGGCCCAGCGACACCAGCGGGGACCCAAGCCTGGCACAGCGCGCTCCTTCTTATGGCTGTTGGTGGACAGTACCGGAGGGTTTCTGCAGTGCCCAGCCTCTTCTGTTCGCTACTGCAGATAAACTCTGCGGTTTTACCACCGAGATATTCAAACAGTAAAGTTCTTAACAGGAAGTGCACATGAGTAATTCACTGAGGGCGAGATGGATTCCTATCAGCCTTCGGTGCCACAGGGCCCCCTGGTATATCCTTCCTGCGAACCTGGTAGGCTGCTGCGTGCCCTACATAGGATTTTTCCATCTGTCACAACAGCACTGGACCGTGACACATTTATCCAATCGCAAGAAAAATTCCATTCGTGTCAACCAATCCAAGTTTTCTGACAATTGGAAGAGTAGATGCTACACACGTCAGGCTAAATCCAGTTACACTTCAGGTTGCTTTTTTTTTTTTGAGCCCAGGCTGGAGTGTAGTGGCACTATCATACCTAACTGCAACCTCAAACTTGTTGCCTCAAGTGATCCTCCGGCCTCAGCCTCCCAAAATGCTGGGATTACAGGTGTGAGTCACTGTGCCCAGCCCAAGTTGTGCTGTAGTGGCCATTGCTGGGAGCCGGACCGATACCTTTTAATCTAGGAGGGCATTTAGAAACTAATAAACCAGGTTTCCCCCTCCTGGTTACTGACCTAACAGACAGGTTAGGCCCTAACAAGGGCATACAAAAATCCCAGGTTGACTCCTGCTCCTCCCACCCTACCCCTATATATGGTTATGGGAAAGATATTGTTTGAATTTCAGGGGCAAAGTTCCCCAAATGCAATCATACTGTGGCTTTCAAATGTGGAGCTCTTAGTAAAAGGAAATGGAAAACAGGAAGAAAACACTTTGCAAACTGCAGCAGTTGCATCATAGAATGAACATCCTTTCGGCAAGGGAGGCCTTGGCTTGTTGAATGCTCACTCTTGCAGCCTGACTTAGCTCATCCTTGAGAAAGCTTCCCATGCCAGTTAGGGTGCCTCCGCCCCCGGGCACGTTTATCCAGCTTGCCTGGACAAAGCAAAATGCAAGTCATAATTAGCAGTGCTTTTCAGAGCTAGTTTCCTAACTAAACACAGAGAATGGCTTTGTTTTCCCCTAAAAGACTGAGGAGGGTGACAGCACCATGTTGAAAGGAGAACTAACAATTACAAAACTAGTATTAATAGGAGGGTCCCCCTTGGGTGCACAGGCAGTTGAGTGGGAGTTACACAGAGGGGAAGGAGGTTCAGGTCAAGGTGCACAAGTGCCAGCCACCCAGCCACCCAGCCACCCAGCCAGGATGTCTGGGCTACAGTCTGGGCTATTTCCCTAGTTGGCTGACCTGAGTAAGTCACTTCCTCTCCTACGGCCTCGGCTACCCCTCATTTGCAAAAGACCAGTTCTTAGCAGCACACGTGAGGGTCAGCCACCTTCTAGTCCTGCTCATGGATACACATCCCCTCTGTTAGTGGACTGTGGTCCTTGCTTTCCTCTAGACCCTAGTCTTTGCACTGAGGGTGGCCTCCTAATGTGGCTTGTGTCCCCTCATGTGTCAGTTCTGGCCCCTCGGCCATTCATTCCTATGACCTAGTGCCTGTCCTCACCCAGTGTCCATCTTCTGACCTCACTCACTCCAGTCCCCACCACCCCTCCTCCCCAACCCAGCAAGCCCCACCTCCCTCCTCCTCCCTCTCCTGTCCTCTGAGCCTGATGCTTTCCAGCTACTCTCCTGCCACTGTCTTACCTTCTTTAACCTCCTGCCACCACCTTTCCCTACTTCGTGGCCAGCCTTCTCGAGAGCTTCATCCGGCCATTTCCTTGGCCCTCTGCAGTCAGACAGTGTGTTGCCAACTCCAGAGGATGTTTAGCAGTCAGCGTTCTCTGCCATTGGGGGCCCCTCCCTTGTCAGGAAACACCCTCCTTGCTTAGCTCCGGTGACTCTGCCTGTTTGTCCCCCTGCTGTCTCCTAGATACACGTGCTCCTCAGGGTTCTGTCTGGGTCCCCTCTCTTCTCTTCACTCCTGGTCTCATCCACCCCTGTTATTTCAAGGACCATGGCAGCCTGACGACCCCCCAGCCATCACCTCCAGCCCTGATCTCTCTTCCCAGCCTGGGGGACATCTCTGCAGCACGTGTCCCTAGGGCCCTGAACTTCACCATGCCCACAAATGAGCCTGTCATCGTTCCCTCACATGCTTGCTCCACCTCCATCATCCCCTCAGCTAGTGACACTAAATCTCATGTCATTCCTGGACTCCTCCCCTCCCTAGCAGGTCCTGTGAATTCTCTCACGGAGGTCTCTGGTCTCCCCCACATCTCCCTGTCCCTGCTCACCTCCACACTAACTCAGGCCCTTGCCGCCTCTGGCCTGCGCTACTGTAGGCCCCCCCCCATCTGTCCCCTTCCAGTCTGTTCTCTGCACGGCAAAGTCAAAGGTCCCCCTCGTGTCTTTCCATTCCAGCCCCATCCCTTCAGACGTTACTTGTGGCCTGGCTAATAAAGTCTAGTCCCATGGCAGGGTCTAGAGGCCATGGCAGGGTGTCTGCTCCCCCTGTGCTCTCTGGGTGCTCGGGCATTACTGAGCCACCTCAGAGCTCAGCTCAGCCCCTCCCGGGGGCCTGGGTCAGGTGCCCACTCGGCACTCAGCGACACACTCAGCAGACCTTGTTCCTGATCACACATGGAGCTCAGTGCCTTGCTCAGCATCCGCCCAGTGCCTAGAACTGGGCTTGGGAGTCCTCCAGGTTTAGCTCTTGGTGGGTGTTCAGTAAGCACCTGCCACATTCTGCAGAGTAAGAACACTAGAAACTGCCTCACGGGACTTGTTCCAGGTTAATTTCTACAAGTGTTCTCTTTGCTGAAATATATGTTAATATATGGTAATTGCAGCTCACTTTAGTTAAGTATGCCAGATAGTAAACATACACTCCAAAGGGGAGGAGGAGAAAACATGCCTGTTCCCATGATGATTGCAAAGAAACTGGATTGTGTTATAGTTCTATTTCCAAAAGTCAGTAGAACATCACTCCTCTAACTCAATTTAGTAATTTTTGTTTTTTCCAAAAGGTAATGTTGAAAATAGAGAAATAAATTTAAAATAGAAACAACGCCTGTAATCCTAGCACTCTGGCAGGCCAAGGCGGGCGGATCCTTTGAGCTCAGGAGTTTGAAACCAGCCTGAGCAAGAGTGAGACCCCGTCTCCACTAAAAATAGAAAGAAATTAATTGGACAGCTAAAAATATATAGAAAAAATTAGCCGGGCATGGTGGTGCATGCCTGTAGTCCCACCTACTCGGGAGGCTGAGGCAGAAGGATTGCTTGAACCCAAGAGTTTGAGGTTGCTGTGAGCTAGGCTGACACCACAGCACTCTAGCCTGGGCTCTAGCATGGACAACAAAGTGAGACTGTTTAAAAAAAAAAAAATTAAAAAAAATAGAAAGAAATCAGCCAGACAACTAAAAACATACAGAAAAAATTGGCCGGGCATGGTGGCGCATGCCTGTAGTCCCAGCTACTCAGGAGCTGGCTGGGGGCACAACCGCCCCCCAGGCAAGAGCTGCTGGTGGTGTGCGGGGAGGGCGCATACAGGGGATCGGGCAGAGCCACAAGACCAGCAGCCCTGCCCTGCTGATGTGTGGCTGTGGGGAGGGAGTGAGACAAACAGGAACCAAGGATGACCCTGACTGCTAGGTGAGGAGCTCAGGAGGATGGCGTGAGCCCAGGAGTTTGAGGTTGCTGTGAGCTAGGCTGACGGCATGGCACTCTAGCCCAGGCAACACAGTGAGATTCTGTCTCAAAAAAGAGAAAGAAACAGTACTTAATATGCTCCAAACCAGTGTTTCTCAAGGCAAGGGGGTAGGGGGGTGAGGGATGTACAGTAGAATCTCCTGGGGCACCTGTTTAAAATGAGTATTTTGGGCCGGGCGAGGTGGCTCATGCCTGCAATCCTAGCACTCTGGGAGGCCGAGGCGGCCCGGATTGCTCAAGGTCAGGAGTTTGAAACCAGCCTGAGCCAGACCCATCTCTACTATAAATAGAAAGAAATTAATTAGCCAACTAATATATATATATAGAAAAACTTAGCTGGGCATGGTGGTGCATGCCTGTAGTCCCAGCTACTCGGGAGGCTGAGGCAGAAGGATTGCTTGAGCCCAGGAGTTTGAGGTTGCTGTGAGCTAGGCTGACGCCATGGCACTCACTCTAGTCTGAGCAACAAAGTGAGACTCTGTCTCAAAAAAAAAAAAAAAAATGAGTATTTGGGCCTGAAAGGTAAGGACGAGATCTCTGGGGCATCACCAGGGGATCTGCATTTTTCAGCAGCCTCCGCAGGTGCTGGTGCGGCACTGGTGTGAGCCCTCTGGAAGTCCCCAGCGAATGTAGCTAGCTGCATGCATCCTCCTGCAAGTTTTTCCTGCCATGTAAGCAGTTTTTCAGGTGGGAAGAACTTCCCTGTCTGCTTTCAGCCACTGAGATTGGCTCAGTCACTTAGCAACATTTACTGAGCATCAGTTACGTCCTGAGCGCTGTGTTGGCACTAGGTATGCAGCAAGAACGAGGACGGGCAAGGTCCTTGCTCTCAGGGAGCTGAGGGCAATGGGGTGCTGGGGTGGCAGGGGCTAGATGAGTGAACGAGTGATAGGACCAGACAGTGGAGGGTGGGTGGAAAGGCCTCTCCAAGGAGGTGACACTTGAGCAGAGGGCTAAGAGGAGGAGGCAGACATGTGTGAAGCACCGGAGGCAGGTATGAGTGTGGAGATGGGGCCATTGGGAGCAAGAGTAAGGGTGACATAGGAGGCGGGATGAGAGAGGCAGGGGTAGACAGGAGGGCCTGGCACCTCTGTTTTATTCCAAGCGTGAGGGAAGCCAGCAGGGACTTAGCACAGGGGGGTGACAAGATCTGGTGTGTGTGTGTGTGTGTGTATGTATGTATGTATGTATTTATTTATTTATTTATTTGAGACAGAGTCTCACTCTGTTGCCCAGGTTAGAGTGAGTGCTGTGGTGTCAGCCTAGCTTACAGCAACCTCAAACTCCTGGGCTCAAGCGATCCTGTTGCCTCAGCCTCTTGAGTAGTTGGGACTACAGGCATGTGCCACCATGCCTGGCTAATTTTTTCTATATATATTTTTAGTTGTCCCGCTAATTTCTTTCTATTTTTATAGTAGAGACAGGGTCTCACTCTTGCTCAGGCTGCTGGTTTCGAACTCCTGACCTCGAGCAATCCACCCACCTTGGCCTCCCAGAGTGCTAGGATTACAGGCGTGAGCCACTGCGCCCGGCCTGGTGTGTGTGTGTTTTTTTTTTTTTGAGACAGAGTCTCACTTTGTTGCTCAGGCTAGAGTGAGTGCCGTGGTGTCAGCCTAGCTCACAGCAACCTCAAACGCCTGGGCTCAAGTGATCCTACTGCCTCAGCCTCCCGAGTAGCTGGGACTACAGGAATGCGCCACCATGCCTGGCTAATTTTTTCTATATATATATTAGTTGGCCAATTAATTTCTTTCTATTTATAGTAGAGACGGGGTCTCACTCTTGCTTAGGTTGGTTTTGAACTCCTGAGCTCAAAGGATCCGCCTGCCTCGGCCTCCCAGAGAGCTAGGATTATAGGCGTGAGCCACCGCAACCGGCCCTGGTGTTCTTTTAAAGGGCCACTCTGGCTGCCGTGTAGGGAGCCGGCTGGGGGCACAGCCTCCCCCCAGACAAGAGTTGCTGGTGGTGTGCAGGGGGGAGCGGGGGGGGGGGGGTACAGGGCAGAGCTGCAAAAGCCAGCAGCCCTGCCTTGCTGACGCATGGCTTTCAATGAGAGGAGTGTCAGGGAGGCAGTGAGACAAATAGGAACCAAGGATGACCCTGACTGCTAGGTGAGGAGCTCAAGAACTGGACAGCACTGGTGCAATTAACCAAGATGGGAGGCAGAAGAGGAAAAGGCTTAGAAACTGAGATGCGGGTTCTTCGTACACTGAGCTCTCAGTGCCCATGAGACATCGAGGGGAGATAGATGCCACATTGGCAGATGGATCTGAGTATGGGGGCTCCAATGTGAAGTCGAAGCCACAGACTGACTCAGAAGGCACCAGTGAGGGTGGAAGTCAAAACCACGGGCCCCTGGGGCCTGAGTGTAATGGGACAGAAGGCAGCACTGCGGGTCACTCATGCATGTTGGAGTCTTAGCAGAGGAACAGAAGGCAAGCTGGGAGGGGACGGTCAGGAACACTGAGAGACAGGAGAACTGCAGAGAATGCCACCAGGGGGCTGGATTTAGCAAGACTAGGAGGACGGGGATGCAAACTTGGAGTGGGATGAGAGGTGAAGGGCAGAAGCAAGCAGAGAACTCTGGGAGTTAGGCTGAGGGGGAGAGGAGAGAAATGAGGAGTGGCTGGAGGAGAACATGGAGACAGGGCTTTTATCTCATACAGGGGGACACCAGAGCATGTCTGTCTGCAGATGGGAGTGAGCCAGAGATTGAGGAGACTGAGGCAGGAACTGCCCTGCACTGGACCAGGAGGGAAGCAGAGTGTGGCCCAGGTGCTGGGAGGTACGTTTGGGCCATGAGGGGTGGACCTGCAGGCTGTGGTCTTCTCCGAGCTCTATGACACAGTCACCCAAGAGGGGAGAGGACATGCAAAGACTGCACGTAGAAAGTGGGAGCGTCTAAGGGTCAGCAGCCAGTGCTGGGTTGCTGTGTAACAGCTCTGGTCCTACACTCAAAGCGGGACTGACCAGTACAGCTGCTGGATTCTCCAGGATACCATGGCAAGGAGCAATAAGGTCCACTTCCTTGTGTTAGCCTGTAATTCCAGGCTTGCTCACGCACGCTCACTGCCTATGAATACACACACACACACACACTCAGAGCTCATCTTCATAAGCTGCAGTAGTTATACTCTATGAAGTCACCATGAACAGTGCATTAGTGAATACTGAACCACTGCCACTAGGGGAAATATAGGGTTAGGTTCCTGTGAGCCACTGATTACATTTACAGCAACTGATCAATACATAACCTTGTTTTGTGTGTGTTCCTATTTAAAGACACCTTATTTAATATCTATTGTTGATTCATTAACACTGGACTCAGGGCCAACAGCACGTAACTCAAGCCTGAACAGAGCTTATCTAACATATATACTTTCCCCATAAGGCACGTCATAGGCTGCTTGCTCTTAGGGACACTACACAGCACTTCAGCGCTACGTTTGGGGCCCACTTTAAACAGCAAAATCACGAAGAAAAAGCAAAACAAAGGCCACAAACTGGACACTAAATAGGGCATGAAAAGGACTTTAGAGTATGAGCTGAAACAAGAAAGCAGAGTATCACCTCCTTCAACCTCAGCTGGGAACATATATATGTGTCACTTGAATTTTTTGATACTCTCCTCATGTCTGCAAATGAGTATGAAAGAACCGTGAGTATTGATTTTGGGGTTACAAATACATTTTAGTGAGCAGGCAAATTTACAAATATGGAATCTATGAATAATGAGGATCAACTATACTTAAAACTATTTTATGATATTCTATTATTATGCACACACACAACTACCGATGCACCAGAGAGCTCATTAAAGGAGGCATCTGCATCCCCCAGCCCTGGCACCAAAAAAGCAGCACCTGGGCACCCCTCCCTGCCAAGCCTGGGCTGCACATAGGTATGCAAGATGCCCAGCTCCACTACTTACTTGCTGGCCAATCCTAGGGGGAATCTAATTGAAGGACAAAGAGTATTCTAATAGAAATAATGAGGCCTGACACATGCTATCCCACGTAAAAGCTCAATGCATGTTTGTTAAATGAATGAATGAAAGAAGGCTACCTTGTCCGGTAAATCAGCCTTATCATACATGAGGTTTCTGGAACAACCAAGTCATATTATATACAACGTTGTGTTCAGTTCCAGACTTTCCCTATCCTCGAGCCATCAACAAGGGCATTACTTCACCATTTTCCCATAATCATGGCTTTTGTTGGGGGACAGGGGCTCTCAGTATCAGCCACTCCCTTCTTGGTGATAGCTGTTTGTTCCTCTTTTCCCAAACAAATAACATCTTGAACAAAGACTAAAAGTAATTCAACCTAAGGTACTGATGACCCCTTAAAAATGGTGAGAAACCGGCCAACATGGTGGCTCATGCCTGTAATCCTAACACTCTGGGAGGCTGAGGCAGGAAGATCACTTGAGGCCAGGAGTTCAAAACCAGCCTGGGCAAAAGCAAGACCCCATCTCTACAAAAAGTAGGAAAATTGGCTGGGCATGGTAGCATGTGCCTATAGTCCCAGCTACTCAGGAGGCTGAGGTGGAAGGATTGCTGGAGCCCCAGGAGTTTGAGGCTACAGTGAGCTATGATGAGGCCACTACACTTTAGCCTGGGTGACAAAGAGAGACCCTGTATCAAAACAACAACAACAAAAATGGCCAGGTGCGGTGCCTCAAGCCTGTAATCCTAGCACTTTGGGAGGCTGAGGTGTGAGGATTGCATGAGGCCAGGAGTTCCAAGTCCAAACTAAGTGAGACCCCATCTCTACTAAAAATAGAAAAATTAGCCAGGCATGGTGTCACACCTGTAGTCTCAGCTACTCGGGAGGCTGAGGCAGGAGGATTGCTTGGGCTCAGGAGTTTGAGGTTGCTGTGAGCTGTGGGTTACACCACTGCACTCTAGCCTGGGCAACAGAGCGAGACCCTGTCTCAAAAAACAAAAACAAAAACAAACCCAGAAGTCTGAAACTGCTACAGGACATGTCCTGCCTAAATATCATCTTCTGAAATCTAGTAAGGGTATAAAACATCAGCCTCTGTCCTGGTATCCTGCTGATCTTTTAGTCATTTGCCCACCCAGCCGACACACATCTGCCAAGTGAACTGGCAGAGCCAGGAGGGACCCGTCCACAGTGTCCTGACTTGGCAGACACAGCGTCAGGACTCAAACCCAAGTCTCTGGGCTGCAAGCTCTGGCACCCTCAACATCCTAGGTGTACGAGAGAATGCCCACAAGCTCCAGTGCAGACTCAAAGTAAGAGTTGTGACACATGGGGGAGGTACAGAAACCAACAGTCCAAAGACAGGGAAACTAAGAACAAAACACAAAACTAACCAGCCAGTCCCTGACAAAAGAGAAACACAGGTTTCAAAATTCATGGTCAGGGTGTGTGCTAATTTATTAGGGGTGACTCTCCATTTCAGCTTCCTGGGGAAAAAAATTCCTGTGACTTGAACGTCTGAAGGGACAGAAGTTACCACAGATGTCACTCAGAGTGGGGCCAGGGGAATCTATACTAGGGAAGTAAAAGTAAAATGTTGCTTGGTTTCCCTTTACTCAAAACCACGATTTCCTTAATTTCATCAAAGTATATAAAAGGCACAAAATATATTAATATTTAGGACCTTGGAGTTGAGATAAATTATCCAAAAATGGAGTAAAGACTCTAAATAGAAACTGTCTTTGTTGCCCGCGTTGGCCTGAAAGCACCTGAGGTCAAAGGTCAAAGGCTGACCAGCTCCTCCGTGGCCTGTGGAAGTTGGTTTGGGGCTGCATTCACTTTAGGACACACAGCCCAAGCTCTCCACCCACATCCCCAGCTCTGGTGACCCAGTGGAAAGCCCCAAGGGCTTCAGTCATGAGGGTTCTGCCACCTGGCTAAGTCAAGTCTCTCTTGGCCCCTTTACTGTTAAGACCCCCTTTGACCTTGGCATGAAAATGTAGCTTTTGGCCGACAGTCCCCCCCAGCTGGGCTAGAAGTCCCTGTGCCCTCCACTCTGGCTCAGCCGGCCGATTCTCCTCCTGCTTGTTTTCCTAGTCACCGACTGTTTCCCCCGCAGCTCTTTTCACACACAGGTTCCCTTCTTGTGGCCCAGCCTGGTGAAAGTGCCTGGCCCACACCCCCGTGCAACCACGTAGCGCTTCCCAACACACTGTGCACTGGCAGCTGCTGGCGGGAACAGACACGGCCTGAGCTCCCTGCTGAAAGGAACAGGGGTCAGGGGCCCAGCAACATGGTGAGTCCTCAAGCCAAGGCCATTTCCTTCACCACATCAGGGAACAGGTCCAGGTAACAGGGCCTGTTGACTCTTGAGGCCCCCATTGCGACCGTGCCATTCCACAGCCTTCCCTGCAGCATTTGTAACTCGTGTTTCACATGTCTGAACAAAACCTGAAGGTTTTCTGTTCTTTACTAAGTAAATGTTTGCTTCAGAGAAACCAGCCCCAAACTCATCACCGCTGAAATATGCAAGAACAGGCGCCAGCAGCAGCAGGTCAGGCACTATCCCCTTTCAGCAGGCACGTGGAGGAACTCTGGCAGGTGGCACCCTCGAGTGTCCAGGAGGCCATGCGTCCACCACAGGCTCCAAGTCCCGCTCACAGGCAGGACTTGGAGTGGGTCAGAAGGGTCCCGTTTGCTCTCTATCCAGGGGGGCCATGGGAGGGAAGCTGAGCCAAACACGCCCTCCTTGCCCTCTGTACACAGCGTGAGCCACGTGCTGGACAGCTGCAGGGGCAGACTTGGTCATCGCCCCATGATGAAGCTGGGCTCGTCTTCCTCCTCCTCTGTTCCAGATGCCTCTTCAGAGCTACTAGACCGCTGCTCCTGGGGCTGGCTGGATCCTGTAACCACACAACATTCAGATCACAGACGTATACATTTGCTTGGAGAGTCAAGGGCACTTTAAAGAAGGAGGGGTGCTGACGGAAAATTAGGAACTACTTGTTCCTGGACAGGGGTAGCCTCATGCCCACCAGGCCCCAAAGCCATTCCTCAGGAAGTCAGGGTGGGTCACAGAATTGATCTGCCACTGCTCACAGGTGTACCCCATCCTTACCAAAATGTTCAGCAGCACACACAAAGGACACCCCATAAATCAGGCCCTGCTGCATTTTATATGGCCCCTACCACCTACAATGTCCACCCCCATGGTAGGTGACTTCACCCCCAAGCTCTTCTGCATGTAATGCTTGGCTGACAGCACTCCTGAAGTCTCATGTTTTCACTGCAGTAGGCAAAAGGACTTTCAAAAACTGTGTAGTAGAGGGCTCTGCCCACAGCAAATATGCCAACTTCCTGGCTCTTCCCCAAAGTCCCAGAACCACCCTCCACCCTCACCACCCCACGTGCAGCTCTTGAGTGCAGCTGAGCCGGCCAAAAGCAGAGTACAAAGACAACTTGTCCCCAACTCCTCCTCCTCCCTCTTTATGGGAACAGGGGAATGGGCAAGAGTTGGAAAGAGACAAAGTCAGAACTACAAAGCAGCAGGTGGCCCAGCTCAGGGGCTCCAGGCAGCCACCTGCAGGCACAGTGGCCTCACCAACTCACAACCAGGTGGGCTCACCTGGGACAACCAGTGGCTCTTCCCTGCAAATGTGCAAAACTCACTTCAGCCGCCCCACCCTCTCCCACCCAACACACCCAGAGCTTTACTAGTGCTGTGCTGCTACAGGGTCAAAGAGCTTCAAGGTGGGAGGCCTCAGCCTAGCATTTACTTTCATACCCTAGGATGGGAGAGTACAAAGGACACTCATGGCAATGGGTAGAAATCATCTGTAATATACAACCTAATTTGGGGTCTCCCTCTCAACCTCATGTCAAACAGAATGAGTAGTTTCTAAAGTTCAAATGGTGAGGATATTTTAATAGCTAATATTTGTTGAACACCTACTATGTGCTGGGCGCTGTGCTAAGTCTACATATAGTATCTTGTTTATTTCTAACAATAGCCTATGAGGTAAGTACCACTATCATATTAATAGATCCATTTTACAGATGAAGAAAATAAAGCCAAGACAAGTTAAATAGTTTGCTGCTTAAGATGCAGTGAGACAAAGACCCAGGATTCAAACCCAGACTGTCTGACTTTTTAGGCCTCTGCCTATATCACCTGCAGGAACTGCATAAGGAAACTGAGGCAAAAGGAGAAGGTGGAGGGCCAGGCACCGTGGCTTACGTCTGTAATCCTAGTACTCTGGGAGGCCGAGGCAGGAGGATTGCTCGAGGTCGGGAATTCAAGACCAGCCTGAACAAGAGTGAGACCCTGTCTCTACTAAAAATAGAAAGAAATTAGTTGGACAACTAAAAATATATAGGAAAAATTAGCCGGGCATGGTGGCACATGCCTGTAGTCCCAACTACTTGGGAGGCTGAGGTAGAAGGATTGCTTAAGCCCAGGAGTTGGAGGTTGCTGTGAGCTAGGCTGATGCCAAGGCACTCTAGCCTGAGCAACAGAGTAAGACTCTGTTTCAAAAAAAAAAAAAAAAGGAGAAGGTGGAGCCAGGAGCGTGCACAAAGTGCATGCTATGGAGAGACTGAATAGATGACCAGAGAAGGATCAAAAGCCCCTCGAGCTCCCTGGACTGGCAGGACCAGGCTCACCAAACTGTGGCACCTAGTGACATGCATGGGAAAGAACAATGTTTCTATGGCACGTGGGGCATCTGGACAGGATGCTCACTGCCTGAGGCAAATGGTCCAAGGCCTTGGGCACTCTCTCCACATTGAAGGCTGGGGGTGGGGAGGCAGGTCAGATATGCTGTCTCCTGTAGCCCACTTCCCATGCACTAGCTGGGGAGCTCTGCCCTAGAACTTGGGCTCCAAGGTGGAAACTGGTGAATATGTCCACTTTATTCCCAAATCATATTCTGCCCATTTGAAGCTTGAGAACCACCACACACTCACACAGTTCTGAAGGCAGCAGGACAAGAGCACAGGATCTGATCTTTAACTCTGATCTTAATGAATCAGTAACACACTGATTAACTAGGATGTTTGTGGTATGGGGTGTAACAGAGGAGGGCTCAAAGCATTCCTTATGGCTGAAAAGCCTCTGAAAATGTAGTACAGGTTGAGTATGCCTTATCTGAAATGCTTGGTACCAGAGTGTTCTGGATTTTGCATTTTTTCAGATTTTGGAATATTCGCACGTACATAATGAGATATCTTAGGGATGAGACCTAAGTCTAAACACAAAATTCATTTATGTTTCATATATACCTTATACACATAGCCTAAGGGTAATTTTACACAGTATTTTTAAAGATGCCTATCTCGGCCACCCATGTGGATGATCTGTGGGTGTCTGGAGTCACCACCGCTCCTGACTCCGTGTGTTCAGAGTAACTAAGCAGCCTGGCAGCATCACCAGAGTCCTTGTCTCGCCTGTTAAACAACAGACGACAACAGGCTTTCAGTCTCCACCCAGGACACCATGTTTTGATTAAAAGGTCACTGCATACTATATTTTATTTTTTTAGTTGAGAAGAAACATTAGTAGTTGGGGGACCAGGAAGTGTCCCTCTAGGGATAAGGAGGCATTCTGCGGATGGCTTTTTAAAAGGTTTCCTCCAGAGTCATCTGCCTCTAACAAAGGTTTTTTTCTTCCAAGTCTCTCTTTGATGTTACCAACTGACATGACTTCTTGTGTGGCATGAATGCATGCTGCTCTTGTCCTTCTAAGCCCATCACACATTGTCACCATGTCATCTATAGGTACTTCCTCTGCAGCCTTAACATCATTATTGTCATTATGATCATGATCACTTTGATTCAGAACCATTTCAGCTGTTTCACTATTGATCAGTAAATGAACAACTACAACCTCATTTTTGATGTTAAAAACTTCAATATTCATTTCTTCCAATTGCTGATGGACTCTGAAGGTATATGTTCTGTATTATGTAAGGAGGTCAGACATCATTTTTTCTCACTTGACATATGGAATCCTTCAAAGTCACCACCCTGTTCAACATCATCACTGAACACAGTTGCAGGCCAGCGCTGTGCCAGGCATGGATAATTCAGTCTTCAGTCACTGTGTTCCAAGTGTTGGCAACAGCACGTACAGCATCCTTGGTAAGCTCCTTTTGAAAACCTCCCACGCCCACGCCTTATTTGCTGCTGCTACCATTATGTTCAAGAAAGTGGTTTTATATTTGATCTTCATTGATCTAAGGATACCCTGGCCACTTGGCTGAATTAATGAAATCACATTTGGGGGAAGTACATGGGATAAACATTATTTCTGATGAGAATTTCAGATGGAGTATGAACAGGACAGTTGTCAAGGAATAACAAAATTTGTAGTCGTCATCCAGCCTAGCTTCCCTGTAGTGAGCTTGAGTCACTGGTACAAAATGTGAAACCAATCAGAAAGTATATCCCTGGTGATCCACGCCTTTTGCTAGTATAATAATGGACTGGTAAGAAATCCACTCCTTGAAAACAACGAGGATGCAAGCTTTTGCCTGTCACAGCAGGTTTACCCTTTCATGTGCTTGCTGCATTAGCACACCCCAGAAGTTATTCTGTCCTTGGCATCCTTCATTCTTGTAGGGGCTGTCTCAGCTACAGTCAGTGTCTTTCTGGGACAATAATGCCAAATGTCTCATCAGCATTACAGACTTGTTCTGGTGTCAGATTTTCATCAGCAATAACCTTGGCAAACTCATCAATGAATTTCTCTGCTGCTTTGTGATCAGCAATATGCTGTATAACCACATATCTTTAAAAATTTAATGCCATGTCTTTTCTTAAATTTCTGCAACCAGCCTGTTGAATATTCACAGTTCCCTTCAATTTTCAGTTTGTGTCAGATCTTTGCTTCTTTTATGATCAGCATACCGTTAAGTGATATGTGTTCACTGTGACACCGATAAATTCATACTTTCAATACACAATCAAGATTTTCATTTTTAGCTTTATGCAGTGTTTTTTATTTTTCATTAGCTTCTTTTTTATTTTTAATTTACTTTTAGAGATGGGGGTCTTGCTAAGTTGCCCAGGTTGGATTCAAACTCCTGGGCTCAAGAGGTCCTCCCATTTCAGCCTCCAGAGTAGCTGGGACTCCAGGTACTCACCACTGTGCCTGGTTATTTTTCATTAACTTGTGACTTTCAGTACAGAACTTCAATAGTTTATCCTTCTGTTTCTTCAGGTCGTATTTGTGGTCATTCCAACACAATATTCCTCTATAAGATGTTTCGCACTAACACTGCTGTCCAGTTTCTCCAAATACTTAACTTTCTGTGCTATAAATAAATGCTGCTTCTTTTTCTTATCACTGTTAGCCCAGAGTGGTATCCACAGGCCTTTTGGATATTTTCAACAATATCTTCACACCACAGAGCAGAGAATAAGCAACAGCAAAACCCACAATGAGTAATGCCCATAGGTCTTGGGTCCATGTGGGGCATCATGGGGAACCATGCTGGCACATCTGGCCTGGGCATGTGTCATTTTATTACCATGTGTGGGCGTGCTTGCATGGGGCAATCTGCATATGTGCAGAAAAGTCATATCGCAGCTGAAGGGGGCCGGGAGGGTCTTTTTTCCCTTGGGGACACTGAATAAACTGTGTGTTTTGTGTCTGCATTTTGACTGTGACCCATCACATGAGATCAGGTGGGGAATTTTCCATTTGTGGTGTCATGTCAGTGCTAAAAAAGTTTTGAATTTTGGAGCATTCCAGATTCAGACTTTTGGGTTAGGGATGCTCAACCTGTACCTCACTGACAATAAACAAGGGGATTCATGTGTGTGTGGGAAACATGCTGTCAGGGTCTAGAGGCACCACTCTCAAAGAGGAGAAACCTAGAAACCTGGTGCACATTCAAGTCAT